CTTTATGTGCATTTCTCTAATTCCCAATGAATGTGGACTGTGAAAAATGCTTAAGTGCTTATTCATGTCCCCTGTCCAATTTCTTATTTGATAGTGTTTTGTTTTGTTTTTAAGTAAACTCCGAATATGACCCTTTGTTGGTTAAGTGGAAGTGAAAACACATCCTCTAATTATTTTTTTTCCTTTATGGTTAGTACTCTTTTGTGGCCTGTTTAAGAAGTCCTCCTTTCTTTTCCTATCTCTGAGGTTAAAAAAAAAAAATCCTACATTTTCATCAACACATTTCATTATTTTACATTTGACACTTAGATCTATAATCTACCAGAAATCTCTTGTGTGTATAGCAAGAAATAGGGGTCAAGTTCATTTTTTTTCCTCACATGGATAGCAATTGATCATCCTTCCCCCAGTGCCCTGTAATGCCAAGTTTGTCTAAATTAAATGGTTATTTATGCAAGCTGGGAAGGTTTTCTTTCTTTCCCCTTCTGTATTCCTTGACTCTGGAAGGGTTTATGTAACATTGGCATTTCTTCATCCTTAAGATTTTGAGAAAACTTACTGGAAAAGTCATTTGGGTTTTCCTCATAGAAAAGTATTCAATTACAACTTTGACTGATTTAATATTTATGTTACTATTTGGCTTTCCGATTTTTTGGTCCATTTTGGTTAGTTGTAGCTTTTTTTTTTGAGAAATGTGTCTGTTCATCTAAATTCACAAATTTATTTTGACATAAACTGTTCATAATATACTCATTACTATTTTTCAAGCTCTGGAAGGTCTGGGGTGGGTCCCCTCTTCATCCCTAGAGTTGGCCATCTGTGCCACCTTCTTTATTTCTCTGCTATTCTTGCAAGAGAGTTTTCCATTTTATTCATGTTTCAAAAATAAATTGTTTTCAAAGAACCGACTTCTGGTTTTGCTATTTGTTATAAATTTCAGTAACTTAGTTCTTACCTTTATTATATCTTTTCTTCCACTTCCTTGGTATTTAATTATTGCTCTGTTTCTAACTTGTTTACATTTGAAAAACCGATTTTTGGCCTTCTTCTTTTGCAATACAGATGTTAAAAGACATACATTTCCACTGATAAAGACATTAGCAGCATCCCGCAAGTTCTATTTTCATTGTCATTAGTTCCAAAGTTCTGCTTTTTTGTGATTTCTTCCTGAATCTACTGATTCCTTGGAGATGTAATTTAGAACTCCCAGACATATGAGAATGGTTGTTTTTAATATTTTCATAGCATACCTTTCCTGGTTCTGTTCCTTCACATTTTAAATTTTTAGCATCCTCACGTTTTACATGATTTTCAGAAATCTTAGGCTTTAAAATATTTTATTAATGGATTTATCTTTAATGTGAATTCACACTAAATGAGTCTCTTAAAGGTTAATGGCATTCAAGCTTAGTTATTTTCAGAGGTGCTTTTATGCCTACCATCTACAACCGTTCTATTTGTTTTTGTTTTGTTTTTTTAAGATTTTATTTATTTATTTGTCAGAGAGAGAGAGAGAGATCAAAACCACAGCAGGGGGAGAAGCAGAGGCAGAGGGAGAAGTAGGCTCCCTGCTCAGCAGGGAGCCCTATGTGGGACTTGATCTCAGCATATCCCGGGATCACAACCTGAGCCTAAGGCAGATGTTTCACTGACTGAGCCACCCAGGCATCCCGTCTTGTTTTTCAGATCGCTCCAGTTCACCTCTTTTTGGCCACCTTTTGGGTGGACTGACTTTTATTATTCTGTTTTACTTTATTAGTTTGGAAATCATATATTCCACTATTATATTCCTTCAGTGGTTGCCTTTGAAATTACAGCCTGCGAGTCTGAGTTATCTGCGTGTGATGGTAAACCCTGCTTCATGCTCTCCTGATTTCACTGGCTTTATTTACTGCTTGTTTTTCCTGCTTGGATCTCTGAGCATTCTGGGTCTGCCCCGCACTTACTTCTTCCAGTTTTTTTTTTTTTTTCTAAAACTGCCTTAACTCTTTTGCATCCTAACAGAAGTTTTTTTTACTATTTATGAAAACCTAGATTGGCAGTTATTTGAGCACGTTAAATATGTTACTTCATTGTTTTTGAATTGTCTTTGAATTGCTGCTCCTTAGAATTTGTCTTTTTTTACTTCTGGCTGCTTTTAATATTCACTCTTAGTTACCAGTGTTTCACTATGAGATGCCTAGGGGCAGTTTTCTTTTTATTTATGCTAAGCAGGGTTTGGCTTTGTTTTAACAAAAGTCACATTTACAGACAGAAAGATGTACACGTGTATAAATTTCTAGGAACACAGGCATTCCCATTTGCAGATAACCATTCAGGCCCCTCTGCAGTCTGCTATGGTCTGAATGTTTGCATCCCTCCCACCCCCATTCATATGTTGGCATCCTAATCCCCAAGGTGATGGTTGTAGGACATTAGGTCTTGAGGGTGGAGCCCTCACGATTGTGGTTAGTGCTCTTAGGAGAGAGACCGGAGAGATGGCTTCTTCTTTCCAACCACGTGAGGACACAGCGGGAGATAGGCAACCTGCTGCTGGGAGGCGGGCCGACCTTGGAGCTGACCTTGACGGCACGGTGATCGTGGACATCCAGAACTGTGAGCAGAGTTTCTGCCATGTATAGGTCCCCAGTCTAGGTATTTTGTTATAGCAGCCCGAATGGAGTGAGACAGCAGTCCATCCCTGGCCACACACCCAGCCTCGGGCGACCAAGCATCAATTTTCTGTGCCTATAGTTTGGCCTTTTCCAAAACATCATGTGCACGGAATGGTACTTGTAGTCTTTGATTCTTTTCTCACTTAGTGCAACGTGTTTGAGAGTCACCCATTTCGTTGCATGTAAGGGTAGTGCCCCCCTTTTATTTTTGCACCGTTTATCCGTGTGCTAGTCAGCCTGTAAAATGGCCCCCAGGGAGCCCACTACGAGGCACTCACACCTCATATAACGCCCCCCGCCCCACTGAGTGGACTGGATGCATGACCTGCTCGCAAGGAACAGAATGTGGCAGAGGGGCTGGATGTCCCCTCCAGGACGGGCTATGTGAAGACCGTGGTTTCCATGCAGATGCTCTTGCTCGCTCTCTCATGGACTGCGTGCCCTGGGGGAAGCCAGCTGCCCTGGCGTGAGGCCACCCTTATGGAGAAGCCTGTGTGAGTGAGCTGGGAAGCGGATGAGGCCTGCCAGAAGCCACGGAAGTGACCTTGAAGTTGCATCATTTCTCCATCAAGCTTCAAGAGGACTCGAATTTTGGCCAACAGTTAGCTGACAGTTGCCTCACAAGGGACGTTGAAGCAAGGGCACTCAGCTCAGCCACAGCCAGACTCCTGACCCACAGAAGGTATGAAATAACAGCCTTCTATTGAATTAAGCCTCTAAGTTCTGGGGGCGGTGGGCGGGTGGCCGTAAATTTACAGAGCAGTAGATAACCGACACGATCCAGTCACCGTTTTGGATGATGATGAATGAGGGCACAATAAACATTTGCACACGGTATCCACGTGGGCACAGTCTTCCCTGTTGCCCGTGTAACCTCTCTCCTTTCTCCAGAATTCCAGTGACTTTCTCAACACACCCTTCCTGCCGCTAAACCGTGTTCCAGAATCCCCAATCTTCTCTGGCTTCTTTGTGTTTCATTCTGTAATTTTCTCATTTATCTTCCACTTCCCCAGGTTTTTTTTTTTTTCTTTTTAAATGACTGCGTCTAATTAACTTTAAACTCATCCTCTATTGTACTTAATTTTATGACTATTTCTCAATTTCAGAATTTCCATTTGACACGTTTTTATAGTTTCCTATTTCTGCTGATTCTCATTCTTTCATCTCCTTGGGCATAGTAAACATACTTAGCTTAAAGTACGTGCTTTTGAACTCCAATCTTTTGGGCTCCCATGGATGTATTGCAATGGACTGCTATTTCTGCTTGTTAATTTTTGATCTTGTTTTGTGTTGTCATGTGTCTGGTTTTTTGACTCTGCGTTGAATATTGTATTTGAAAAATGGTTTGTTACATCATTTTGAACCTTCTGATGCTGTAACTGTCCTTTGGGACATACACACACACCTTTCCTCCCAGGTACTTGTGGGCCCTGTCAGTCCTGAAGGACGTCCATCCAACATCAGTGGTTGAGATGATTCATAGCTGAGCTGTGGTTTCTAGATCGCAAACATCCAGCCCTTAGGAGGGACACTTCCAGGCTCCGACCCATGGCCTTGGCTGACCCGGTCCCCACAGTCCAGGAGGCTGTCAGAAGTCCAGTCCAGCTTCGGAGCTGGCTTCTGTGAACTAGAAGAGTGCTCTGAATGTCCCTTGGAGAAAGCCTAGAACGTAGGCTTCCTTGCTTGGTCCCCACTGCATTCCAAACCCCCTTCCTCAGTCTCTTCCTTGGATCTCATGGTCCTAATAGTTTTCTAGTGCCTTTAATCAGATTAAACAACAATGGAAGTTTTGCCCAGCTTTTCTGGATGTTCTCAAGAAACTCTTCCCAACAGCCATGGGCTGCTTTTATGTGTGAGAGAAATAAGTTATTTGTTTAAGCCAATATTAGATGATTTTTGGATACACACAGTCTAACCAATTTCTAGATGATACATTCCTTGATACACTCCAATTAACTACTTAATGCCAGTTTGGTGTTTACCATAACTTCAATATTATTTTCCCTCACACTACTCAGGTATGAGAAGAAAAAGGTATTTTTTTAAATTAAAAATATTGTTAGAGCAACCCCATCTCCTCCTTCTGTTCTGCATAATCTCATTTTATATTGGTTCCCACATATCAAATAATCCACAACAATCTCTGAAAAGTCAACTAACACCAAATACAACTATAATTCTTTAACCTAAGCAATAAAATGCTACAATATACCCTACAGTGAAGTTTATGATCTATGTTCCAGTTTTTAAGCCTACTTCATTTTTATGTTTCAAATCCATTCTCCCTAGAAAGTTGATAGAACTTAATACTTTCATCTGTTTACTTTCCGTTTAAAAAGTACTTACCATTTGAGACGGAATTCCCGTTTTCAGCAGTGATAGCACTCGAGAGTGAATTAGATAATTGAATTCCATGGTTATTTGCATTTCTATCTTGAGTCTCAGATGCAATTTCTGATCTACCAGCATAATCTCGGCCAGTTAGGTTCATGTTAGTCTCAAAACCTAAAATAAATTTTAGAAAGGATTATTCTTTTCGGATAAAATGTACCAAATAATTTAATAAAATAGTAGAAGAAAATAACAAAATTCATCAAATGAAACATTAATTATATTTGAAATAGTAAATTAATAATCATCCTTAATTAAAATTATGGCCTACAAAATCTTCACCGAATTTTGTCACAACACTCTTAAACATAATGGGAAATATTAAGTGGTGATAATGAATTTCATAATTTCTTATTTTCAAACATATCTATACAGAATTTTTGATGTCAGAGTCTAATAACTTGTCACTAGAGCACCGTCTTGAGAACACTGTTTCCTAAAAAGCATGGAAATAAATTCATGCTTCAGAAGTTTCCTCATTTATTAAATTAAGTGGGGCTGAGACAATCCTATAGGCTTGAAAAAAAATAAGAAATAGACTTACAGCATCATTACAAAATTTGTTATTATCCATTTAGGAGTATTAAACTTCAAAACCCTACTTCTGCATTCTATACACTAATATCGCCTAATTGTTCAGTGCATGTCTCATGTTGAGTGCTCGGAGATCGACGAACACAGACGCCATCATCCAAATTATGTTGAAGAGCCAAATGAAGATTTTTTTTAAACTATGTAGTAATAATAAAGTAAAATATAACAAATGCTAGGGTTTGGAGCAATGTCTGCTGCACTATCCTCAGGCAGGGTCTACAAATGACCAGAGGGTGCAAATCAAGCACAGTTGTCCACCATGGCGTCAGGTGTGGCCCTTGCCACCCCTTCCCTCTCCTCTCTTGGAGTCAGGGTCCCTCTCTCGGGCTGGTCAGGTATGCCTGGGATTGGCTCTTGCTTCCCAGGGATGTTCTGGAGGATTTTTCTTCAATACGGAGGATGTGCATGCTTCTTCTGCTCTTTGTTGGTACATAGTAGATTCTGACTGCCTTTAGGTTAGGCCTTTCTGAAGTTTTAGGCTAACAGATTATTCAAAAGGGATAAAAGCATAATTCGCTGTATTATACTTTACATGTGGCAGAACAGTTTATCTCCAGGGATCCCAAAGGATGGAGGAAGGGGGGCAGGGGGTAAGGAGGAAAGGATGGATGGAGGGAGGGGGAGAGGAAGCACAGAGGGAGGAGGCCAGCCCTCCCAAGTTTGTCTCTCCAGGCTGGTCTTGACACGATCCTGTCTAGCTCTTGCCTCTAGACACGGTCTCCTCCTGCCCTTGAGCCTTACACTCAATCAGCACTACAGGCAACGGGCATGTGTCCAGACGCTCCATACGGACCCGTGTTTCCCTGCTTTGCTGTATGCACTCCCACCAGCTAGAGTGGCCCTGTGCTCACCAGCGGGGCTCGTGGTCAGATGAGCCACAGGGACCTGTCACTTACGCCCAGAGAGGAGCCATGTCTGCCCCACAGAAAGGGGTGCTGCTATCTAGAGCAGGAGGGGCTGGATGGGTAGAATGGAGGCAAAATGGACAGGGCTTTGAAAACCAGGTGGGGGCGCTGAGACTTCAGTGACCCGGGAGCCACTGCAGCTCCTGGCTCCCTGCACTTACAAACAAGCGGAAAAGCTTTGGCTTAGCCAGTGTGTGTAGGAACAGTGATGAATCGGAGAACAGGTGATCAGAAGCAGCCATCTGAGTTCTCGACAAGGAGCAACACTGAGCAGGCTGGCGCTGAAAGACTACGTATTTCTTTCGGTCGACTCTAGTTTGCCTTTCAAAGAAATCTGAAATCTGAAATCAAAGTAACACAGGGTTGGCTTTAAAGCTGTCTCAAGACACAGATACTGCCTCTCTTCGAGCTATTTTTCTCGTTCTTTAGTTTAGTCGTTTATTGAATGCCTACAATGTGTTTGCACTCTTCAGGTGCTCCAAGTGCAGTAATGACCATGACAGATGGACTGCCATCGCAGCAAGGAGCTGAAGTTCTGTTCTCGGCGCAAAGGGACCTTACCCAAGGCTGGGAACCAGGGTGTCCCTCACTGGGTAAATGGGGACGGTCCTCTTACCTCTGGCGGGACAAAACTCAATCCTCTGACACACTGTGTAGACTCTTGGTATAAACAAGAGGCTAGCTTCCTTCCTAACCAATTTCCAGCTCCTAAACAACTCATATATTTTAAGTCAAAACCTCCAATTTTGCTATTAAGGTTTTAAAAATATTTCCAATCAGCAGGTTACACTGTAGCCAAGGACTGTTTTTAAATGTGTCATACGAGTTAGGCTGTGATTCTTACATTATCTACTAAAATCTTCTTTATATTTTTATCTTAAAAGCACAGGTCCTCTCAGGGATGGCTCTGGATTGGAATATGGAAAGAAGTCCTTCTTCAAATAAAACCTAAGAATTGATGGCCAATCTAATGATATTCATTCACCTTGTTCTGATGATAATTACCATCTCCTGAGTGTTTATGACCCGCCAATCCCCCAGAGCATCTGATTTTGCTCTGGTTTTCATACTTCTGAAGAGCTGTCCCTTTCTCACCCATTTTCGAGGTCAGGTCACTGAGGCTTGGGGAGGTTAACCTATGTGCAAACATTTCATAATCAGCCAGTGGTTGCAGCCGGGTTCAGACCAAGGCAACATCCACCCACACTCATTCCTACACTTGGCCCGTCTGCGTAAAGTCTTCTGTCATTTCATTTGCTGATCTAAAGGATAATGCAGCTGCTTTTCCGTGGCTTTATTGGATCCCCATGCCTCAGTGGTAATGAACTGGGGACCGGAGGTTGAACATTGTACTCTAGCCACTCAACTAGAGCTGCAACATCAATAGAGACGTCTCTGCTTTAGGGTTCTCCTTATTCATGAATGTTAATTGTGGGGATGGCTCTTGGCTTCCTAAATTCTGGTCAGCCTCTGCTCATAAACAGCCTGGCTCCAAGTGAAATCCAAACATGCCAGAGCGCCTGTGCCCCGACTTGTTAATGCCTCAGTTCAGCCACAACAAGGGGCGAATGCAGAAACCCTCCACGGTTTGATTTTGCTCTAAAGGGTCAGGTTAGCCCATGAGCAGGTGCGATGTTCCTCACTGAGTGTGCCCATGACCCTGGACTCGGGCACTGAAGGAATTCCAACTGTAAAAAATCCGGAGGACGCTGGTATTGAGTTGGAGGCAGTCTTAGTTATAACAGCACATACACAAGATGCGTACTTCATGGAGAGTCCTACAGGGAATGATCCAGAGCAAACAAAGTCATGAGGCCTCTTCATGCCTCCAAGCAGTGGCCACTGGAATTTTGAGGGGGAAGAAAAGTCCATCACAGTCACACCAAAGGACAGTATTTGAGACTCTGAGTGAATCTAAACAAACAAGTAGAGGAGTGTGTGCTGTGAAATCCTGTAGGAAGACTGAAGGCATGTCTGAGTCACTGTGTATCTCTGCGTCTTGTGTAATCAGTGGTTTGTGGAGTTCAGTGGCATCCTTTGCTTGGGTGCTCCACAACACGAGTCGATCTGAATACCTGTGCTGTTTTCTCTCAGCCTGTAAACAGGATTTCTCTGTGACCCCTGCCCGGTGCTGTTTGTACAGGTACGGGAGGAATGAATCACCCTGGGATCTGACTCAAAGATAAAGCCTTGGCCTTTACCCTAGAGTATGATTGTTAAATACAAGTATGCAATGTGGACACAGTTAGGTTGAATCTTAATCTACTGGGAGAGTTCTAACAAATCTCTAAATGCGAATACAAGAAGAATTTCAGCTTTGGTGTGTTCTTTTTTTTTTTTTTAATATATAACTAAAATATCACACTGGGTGGGTGTGATCCTTTGAAAACTGGTTTTCAATAGAAGGTGATATTGCCCCTCCCCGGGGGGCGGGGGACATTTGGCCGTGTCTGGAGCTGTTGCTAGTCCTCACCCGGGAGGAGGGGGTTGCTACTGGTATCTAGTGGGTAGAGGTCGAGGTGCTGTGAGGCCCCAGCAATGCACAGCCAGACCCCGTGATGCGGAATTCCTGCCCAGGATGCCAATGACACTGAGGCTGAGAAACCTTGTCTTAAAACCTAAGTCAGATCATGTCATGTGCCCACTCAGGTCTCTCCACTGGTTTCTATTTCATTTGCATTGAGACCCAGAGGCGTCCCGGGGCTGAGATTTTCCATCACCTGATACTCTGCTCGCCTTGGACCTCATTTCCAACTTCCCCCTTGCCACGTGTGCCTGATAGCCCTCCACGAACGCATCCCACTCTCCAGAGAGAGCCCGGAGCTCTGCGTGTTGCTCAGGCTCTGTTCAAATCAGACCACCTTCTAGAGGATAGCACCTCTCTCTGCTGCAGCTCAATTTCTGTCCCCACTCCCTGCTTTAGTTTCCTATGTGGTCCTTCTGACTGCGGACATGTCACGTCCCCATCGTCTGTTTTCTGCACGCCCCTTCCGGAGTGCGGGCTCAATCAGCGCAAGTGCCACGTGCGAGCTTAGAAAGGTGCCTGCACACAGTAGGCGCTCAAGAACATCTTTGTTGAAAGAAAGGGAAAACAGAATAAATAATAAACGAATCATCACAACCAAACTGCTATAGAAATTCTTGTTTCCTACCAGGAAACTACATGTTTTGCAATTAAAATAGTTGACAAATTTACTTAACTGAAGAATCCATGTGAATGATTATGGAAAAACCTCAGTAACCATTTCTCCTCATTCACAGGAGATTACTGGAAACATGAAAGGACTTCCACTGCTAACATACCTTTGCGTTTCTAATCTCTACTTACTTAAAATTATAAGGTAAGGAAAACTTCACATTGTGCGAGGTGAAAATTTCCTACATATTCAAAGGGCCAGAGCTGCTTGCTTTCCACTGGAGTGTTAACATGAGGGGAAGAAAGGACTTTGGGATATTTGAAATCTATTCCTGACCCACAGTGTGCATGCAGGTTTTCACTGTTGTGCTACCAATTATCACTGATAAATATTTCCTCCTTGTCCTACCGATATGCAAGGTTCATGCATGCTCAGTTTTTAAAAATCTTACTGTACATGGCTTTGCGACCTCTAATCT